TGACTTGCCCAGGTGACTCCAGAACTCCATCTTGGAGCTGGACTTTGCATAGGAGGGAGGAGGGGGGTCTCCTCCCACAAGAGAGAGTCTATTTACCCCTGGGGGAGACCCCTCCATTTTGGTCTTCAGCTGGCTAAAGAAGGAGCCTCTCCACCCCCCCAGGATGCTTGAAGGGAACTGAAACAAAAGACAGTAACTATAGGGGTTGTGAGAGATTGCTGGACCCAGGCTAAAGGGAGATTAGCCTGTGAAAGGGAGCATTCTGGAACTGGTGAGGAACTTATCTGTATTTAGTTTGATTAGGCATAGATTTGCGCATTTTATTTTATTTTGCTTGTGACTTACTTTGTTCTGTCTGTTACTACTTTGAACCACTTAAATCCTACTGTCTGTATTTAATAAAATCACTTTTTATTTAGTAATTTACTCAGAGTATGTATTAATACCTGGGGGAGCAAACAGCTGTGCATATCTCTCTATCTGTGTTATAGAGGGCGAACAACTTATGAGTTTGCCCTGCATAAGCTTTATGCAGGGTAAAACGGATTTATTTGGGTTTAGACCCCATTGGGAGTTGGGCATCTGAGTGCTAAAGACAAGCACACTCCTGTGAGCTGTTTTTGGGTAAACTTGCAGTTTTGGGACAAGTGATTCAGACCCTGAATCTGTGTTGGAGCCAGACAGGAGTGGCTGGCTCAGCAAGACAGGGTGCTGGAGCCCTAAGCTGGCAGGGAAAACAGAAGCAGGGGTAGTCTTGGCACATCGGGTGGCAGCTCCCAAGGGGGTTTCTGTGATCCAACCCGTCACAATGTGTTCCTTGTTTAATTCCAACAAGCATCTGACATGAAAGCTAAAGATAAAAGTGTGACATAGTACAATTAGCTTCTGTGAAGTCTGCATAGCACTAATGGAACACAGCTCTTCCCTATGCACAACTAGCATAATGCAGACCATTTTTTAGTCATTTGTGCTATACATGAGAAGCTGAAATGAGTACTTTTGTGCCCCCGCACACACATAACCAAGGTCCCTGTGTCTGATAATATTGGAAATAATTAATCTTTCCAAATATGAAAAGCAGTAATTTCTGCAATCAAGTCAGAGACATGTAACACTTGTAATGTAAACCTTTATACAGTAAGAAAAATAACCTGGAATTTAGAGCAGAGTCTAGAAATACAGTAAATATCAGGAAGCTTTGTAAGCTGCTTTCGCCTTTTTCCATCCAGTATTGTCTAAATTGTGCCTTATTAGTGCGTGTTGTGATTTCATACCAACAAATTTGTAGCTGTTTCTGGTCAAATAAATACAAGCTTAAGAGTGCAGTTTGAAATCAATGTGCTGGACTTGTGCGTTTAAATCCACTGAACTGTTAAGAAACGGGATTTGTGAACATGCTTTGTGAAAATGCTCTCTTGAAAAAGTTCTAATATTTTGCTGAAGCAGAATAGATTTATTATTGTAGCAAACCAGCAGGGTTCTTCCCACTGTGGTCATGATTTTTTGTTTCCTTTGGCCTAAGTAAGTGTCTTTCCTACATTTCATAGTTATAATTAGAAATAGGTTCGAGCTATGGAGTTTGGGTCCAGATGCAAATGCGAATTTCCCTAAATTTCAGGGTGTGTTTGGATTTAGTGCTGTGGTTTGATCTGCTGGAGAGACAGCCTCAAGCTGTGAAGTTTGGGGCTGAATTTTCCCAGTGTTTGGAAGGGGGTTGGACCTCGTGCTCTATTTTCAACCCACTTCTGGATATACTATGGGGGTTCTGCTACAGTTATGGCATATGTGTGGCCCTGTATCCTTCAGGATGTTGATATAATTTCATCTGCCTTTAGAGCTACTCCACTATTTACCCTAAAACAATTTTAGTGGTGTCCGGGTGTGAGAAAAGTTGCGCTGATAAGGTCTGATGGTTACTTCATTATGTTCTGCACCTCTTGATGATGATGTTACAGTTAATTTTTAAAAATGCTTTATAAACACTTCAGCCAGCCCCAGTACTTACAACAAAGAAGCACAGCACACAGCTGCCAAATTTAAAATAGGAGCACTTAGAAAGATGCCACAGATGGATTGTGTCATATATGGGGGTTGAATATGAATGTTGGGTTCCTTCTGGAAAAGGTCTTGCCTCCTACCCTCTATTGATTATATATTGCATTTGCTGCTGTAGAACATAGGTGTGGGGTAAATATAAAAGGTACAGGAGAATATATTCCACCCAGTTTGCTGGCAGGGAACAACAGCATTGCATTTCTTATACCAGTTTTCAGTCCTGTGGAGGGCAGGTCGGCAGTGCTCGGTGTGGTATCTGCAGTGCTCCATCAACTGTGGCAGCAGTTGAATGGTGCAGCTGTTGAGCGGCGCAGCTGCACACAGAGAAACATGTCTGAAGAACAGCTAGTCAAAAAAAAAACCCAACCAATTTTAATTTGAAATTTTTCATGAGAGATTTTTCACAGGCAACTTTCCAAACTGAAAAATATTCAAAATTCTGATTGTTCCCTCCCCCTCAGTTTTTTGCCGTTGAACTACAGTATAATAGAATTAATGCTATCTAGAGGATTTTTTCCCTTCATTTTTTCCTCTTTCTCTTTGTTTTTTCCTCCTGTTGACATTTTCCAAAGTCAAAAATGTTTTGAAATTTTACAGAAGGAAAAAAATGTGAAAAAAAGAACAAAACCAAAGCCTGGGCTTTATTCATTTTATTGTGCTTAGTGGGAATAATGGGGAAGGCAGAAGGTGAGGAAAGTGGTAAAAACAAAAAATTAAAAATGTAATTATTGATTTTGGAGAAAAAAAAATTAGAAACCAAATTTTCATTTCATGACTTCTCATCAAACATCATCAAAAATTACATTTTTATAGGAAAAAAGTACAGTTTTAACCAGAAAATGTTTCTCTGGAGGAGGAGTGTTGATGTAGCCATGTCGGTCCCAAGGTATTAGAGAGACAAGGTGGGTGAGGTAGTATCTTTTATTGGACCAACTTCTGTTGGTGAGAGAGACAAGCTTTCAAGTTTACACAGAGGTCTAATTCAGGTGAGCTCTCTCACCAACAGAAGTTGATCAAGTTAAAAGATACTACCTCACCCACCTTGTCTCTCTCAAGCTATACTGTGCTAGAGGCTGGCCAGCAGGGAGAGCAGCACAAAGAAGGCTGTTTGCCTCCAGGCAGACTCGGGGAGGGAGAGATTCTGGCTACTGGGTATAACTCTCCCCACTGGTCTAGGAGAAAGAAGGAGAACCCCCGGCACCTTCCAAAGCTCGAGGGAGAAAGGTGCTATTGGTGAGGGGCTGGAGATTAAGAGGAAGCAGAGCCTAGAGGTGAAATGAGGGAGTCAGAGGGGATTGGGATGAAAACAGGGGAAAATGTTAGCTAGAAAGATGAGGGGCAGAGGTAGGGTGACCATATTTCCGAAAGGGAAAACAGGACACCTGTGGAGCTAGTTTGAGCGCCACCCTCCCCCCCTCCTGTGCAGGGCTGTCCCAAGTCCTTCACCCCACTCATGAGGGGTCGCTGCTCGCCCGAGCCCTACCCCCCCCCCCACACGAGAGGCTGGGGCTGGCGTCACTGCTCACTAAAGCCCTGCTGCCCCTGCCCAAGCCTTGCCTCCCCCACCTGTGCGGGCATTGCCACTCCCCCCCACCCCCACCCCCGATCATGTTGGCAAGAGCAAATGTGACAAATGCCCACTTTTGCCAAAAGAATCAGGACAGCCAGGATGTTTTTAAAAAGGGACTGTCCTGGCCAAAATGGGATGTATGTTCACCCTAGGCAGAGGGACACTCTGAGGTAGGGGGAGTAGTGAGAAATTTGATGGATTTGGAGTGGAAGGGGAACTACTGATGGACTTGGTGGAGAAGCAGATGTATTTTGAGGGGCTGGAGATGGGGGAGTTGATGGGTTTGATAGAGGGGATTTGAGGTTCTGCTGAGGGCAAAGGGGTTTGCAGTTCTGACAGAACTTGCAACTGGGGCAGCAGCACCAAGAGCATTTATAGAGCCAGCTTCTTGTCCCTCAGCTTTAGGGCCAAATTACTCCTCTGAACATAGAGCAACAAGTGGTCAACCTGTCAGACAGGATTTATGTGCTTGAGGGCTCTAAATATTGTTTCCTCAATGCTCATTCACTGACTAATCGGCAGCTTGTTCCATTTGTTTTATGATTGCTAATACCAATAAACACTTGTAATCCCCCAGCAATGAAATAGGCTGCAGTTCTAGAAAAACTGGACCTGTTGGAGCACTCAAAGGCGTCTTTTCAGTAGGATCATGAGTTGTTTGGGAGGAACCAGTGAAACTGAATGGCTGCCTAGCTGAACATTTAATCCTGTGTGATTGTTTACATGATTGTCATTCTGATTATGCCCCCGTCCATGATTAGTGAGCCTTTCTCCTTTCACTACTTTACAGTTATGTTAACAGCTCTAAAGAACTGCCAGCATAGCCACTTTAGCAGCAGACAGTTACACTGTGCTTTTTTTATTATTATTAGTGTTCAATTTTAGGGGTTGCCAGACACTAAATACTAAGTCTTCTCTTTATAGTTCTATGGTAATTTGTCCTACAGTTATAAAGTAGCTCTTTTTTTTCCTCCTGCTTCCTGCTAAACAAAAACTCACTTTTTTTTTAAAGACTGAGCAAACAGAAAATTGTTCCATTTTTTATATAAACGGTGATTATATGAACAGATATTATCAAGGTTAAAAAAAGAATGCAGAGCAATTTATTTCTGAAAATCCTGGTTGGGGTGGGTTTTTTTTTGTTTTTTGTTTTTTTGTTAATGGTGGTTCTATTACATTTTTCCAGAAATATTTTTTCAAATGCTGTTTGTATTGCGGTACTGACATTTAGTGCAAGTCTGGGTAAAAATGATATTTAAAGATCTTAAGATATATTCTTGTTCTGCAACAATAAATGCTGCTAGCTTTCAGGTACAATTATTATTCCATCTATTCTTAACATTTTTATTCCATGTATTCTCTCTCTTTCTGGTAGACGCCTTGCATTTCCAAGACTGAAAATCAGCCTCAAGGACTTGCAACTAGTGTTAGGTGGGGACAGACACCCATCAATCAGTCTACACCCTGGGACACAGATGAACCACCCTCTAAACAGATGAGGGAGAATGAAAACCCAGGTATGTTTTCAACCTTATTTGTAATTCTACTAGGGAAAATAGTTCAAAGCAAATTCAATACACTATCTCCAATTACCTCTATAAATTAGACTTTATTGTAAGTCATATATATATATATATATGTATATGACTTATGAATATATATATATATATACACACACACACACTGCAGCTGGATTTTTCTCTCTCATTGTAAAGACCCCCTCAAGTTTCCTATACACCAGGGCTAATAGAAATGTATCAAGATGCCTGCAAATTCATTAATGTGTTTTTCCCCTTTGTTTTTGCCAGAGTAAAATGGACTGGGTAGTACTTTAAGATCTCTTTTATGTCCAGAACTACCTGAAACGATTTCCAGCTTCCAGACACACGTACATTGTGCAGCTATGCCAGATGCCTAATTGCAACCTCTTTGTAGTGGCTGGAGTGCTACTATTACACATGCAGGGTGTTTGTCAGGGAGCCATGAAAGCACGGTGGGGAAAGAGGTTAATTTTCTTGGAAGCATATACTTAAGCTGCATAAAGCACAAAATACATAAAATTGTAAACATGCTGCATGTTACCTGATCAGTATTTTAACAATTGCACTTACATCACTGCAGCAATTTTAGGCACTTATCAGTTTGGAATAGTTCCAGATCCTGCACCACTTTATATATTGTAAAGAAAAAAGAAACCTTAGGTGCTACTAAAAGGTTCATTTATGGGCAGCATTTACATAAAGAGAAAGTTTGTGTGGTGGTTTTTTTGTTTGTTTTTTTGGCCAAAATTGTTCTTATTGCTAGCTTTCCTTTTTCCTCTCTGTTCCAGGTACAGCACCATGGGTTACAACAGTTGCAGCCGGTAGCCAGCCAACTCTTATAACTCATTCATATGGAATGACTCAGCCTCCAACCTTCAGCCCAGCAGTGAACGTCCAGGCCCCTATCATTGGAGTTACACCCTCACTCCCTCCTCACGTTACCCCTCAGCTTCCATTAATGCCAGCTCATTATCAGCTTCAACAGCAGCCTTCACAGCCTCTGAATAACATGGTTGTGAACCTGCAAAGCCAGCCTTTGTACACTAACAGCCAGCCGATCATGTCCTCTATGACTGGGGTCGGTCAGGTGACTCACCCAGGCCACACTGCAGTAGGGAATGGTCATATGACTTGCCCTATTCTGCCTCCACCACCACCTGCTCTGCCTTCAGCTGCCCTACCCAATAGTGTTCCAGCTACCAATGGGCAGGCTGCTCCTCAGCTTCCTCCCAACCAGACGGGCAATCAGGAGACCACAAATGGGGTACAAATGCTACGGACTATTGGCGTGGGAAAGTACGAGTTCACAGACCCTTGGCATCCAAAAGGTAAGTCAGACTGGACCTCTTAATGTTGTTTTTGGTACATGGTGCCACAGTACATGGGCTCTCAGGAATGAATTAGGCCACAGTATTCAAGTTGTGCCAAGAAAGCTGTAAAAGAGGCGCAGCCTAGCCAATAAAAGCATCTCTACTGTTGATGTACTTGTGCCAGTACTCCAGCATCAGTTTCCTGTCTTGTGCTCTGCAGTAGCTTTTATGAATTAAAGATGACAAAACCAATTCTTAAGAGGGGGAGAAAGAAAAGCTTGGACTTTTTTTAGTATTGAATGACACCTTTTAGGGTCCATCAAAGAATCTGGTATTCCACATCTCAAAGCACATGAGATAGCTGCTGTTCAGTGCTGCACAGTTTCTATGATTCCTTTTGAGATGTAATATATTTATTTATAAGTCAGACCACTTTCTTTGGCTTGAGTTGAGCCTGAGCTACAAGAGTAAAAACTTGTTTTTAACTGTTTCCGCCCTGTGCATTTCAAAGGGAACCAAACCAGTGAAAGTTACATTACTGACTGGAGCCAAAGAAAGCCAGGAAGTTCAATGTTAAAGGTGAAGGTCTATGTACTATCCACTTCATTGGGCTTAAGTGGACAATAATCTATGAACAGTGGATCTTCAAAGGTTGATCCTTCCTGAAGAGCAACTTCGAAATGTGCTACTGTACTCAGGCACAATGGAATGTTATGTTCAGAGTTTCAGTCTGATACCAGACCCTGGAATGTTATTTTAATCTAGTCTCTGTGTGGTGATCATTTTTATTTCACTTTTTGGGTTTTGCCCAGCTTTTAAAAAAATCATTAATATACCAGGTGTGAAGCCGAAACAAAATTTAGCTTAAAAAAACACAAACTTCCTGTCAGCAAAATCTATTTAATTGATGCAAAAGACCACAAAGAATCCATTAGGTCAGTGGTGTTATTTTTATATTTGTATTTAGGCAAGGCCCATGTGTAAATTATGTACTCACTATGAGCTATTAAAGTCTATTGTGTAAATCTGTATTAAGGCCAAGGGATCTTTATTAAAAAATGGTTAGCCCAATATCCCTTACTGCTTATTATATGAATTATATTTTGGCAGGTGCAAACCCTTACCAACACCTCTTGAGAAGCCAGTACTGCACATGCTCAGCAGTTATTTTCCAAAGCAAAATATTGTGACTGCTTTCTTAGTTTTTCAGTCCCAAACTACCAAATACAACTAAACCCCATTGCAGGCTGTTGGCCTTCCTTATTTTTCTCTCCTGTAAAAGCTAAATGGACTTTGAGTGATACAAGTACAGACAAGCAGTTGAAAATGGGTAAACTGCTGTTTTGAGTGTTTTTTGTCAATTGTTTCTCTTAAAACAAATCCCTCTGGTCCAAGACCTTGTTTTCCCAGATGGTTTTACATGTTATAAACCATTGGAAAAAAGGGACTTCTAGACAAAACCTGAGAGATTCTTAGCTGTGGTGTTTCTATTAGATCCTTCTCTATTATACTGAAGCCATTCCTTTTCCAGAGCAATGTTTCTCAACCTTTATGGCCAGTTACCTCAGTTTACCAGGCAAAGGGTGTGATTACATTACAGCGGCTGCAGCAGCACAGCTACATCGCTGCAGCTGTGCCACTGTAGCGCCACAGTTTAGATGCCTCCTATATCGACGGAAGGGATTTTCCATCAATGTCGTTAATCCATCTCTCTGAAAGGCAGTAGCTCGAAGTATTCTTCCATTGACCTAGCTGTATCCACACTGGGAGTTAGGCTGACCTAACTACATCGCACAGGGCACAACATTTTTCACAGCCTTTAGCGACATAGCTAGGTCCATCTAATTTTTAAGTGTAGGCCAGGCCTAAGGCCTGATTCAGCATGTGCCTAGTTGTAAGTACTTGTGTAGTCCCATTGAAGTCAATGGGATTGCTTAAAAACCTTGCTTAATCAGTGCCAGTAGCTTCAGGTGTTCCAGATGCAACCTACCACTCCCCATCCAATTGCAGGCATTTAACTTGCAATATAACTCTGGCTGCTTCAAACCATAGTCTAATCTCATTAGGGTGACCAAATCACAACACTAAAATATTGGGACACATTGGGGTGCCGTCAGCCCCGCCCACAGTCCACCCCACCCCTCCCAGGGTCTGCCCCCACTCTGCCCAAGGTCCCGCTCCCTCCCTGTTCAGCCCCCCTCCACCACGCCCTTCCTCATCCCCCCAGCCCCCGTTGGCTTGCTGCATCCCTCCTCAGTCCCCCACCCACCTCTCGCCTTTTCACCCTCGCCACCCGTCACTCGCCTCTTCACCCCCCCGCCCACCACTCACCCCTATGGCACCGACTTCCCCTCTGCTGGGTGGGTGCTCACCCATCCCCCACCTCTTCCCGCCCTCGCTCCGCCCCCATTCCACCCCTTTCCCCCAAGTCCCTGCCCCTGCCCTGCCTCTTCTCCACCTCCTCCCCTGAGCATGCCGTGTCCCCACTCCTCCCCCCTCCCTCCTGGAAAGAGCTAAGTGCCGCCAAACAACTGTTAGGTGGCGGGAAGCACTGGCGAAGGAGTGGGGACGCAGTGTGCTGGGGGGAGTGGGGGAGAAGAAGACGAGGAGGGGAGAGCTTGGCTGCAATTTTTCCCCGTGGGTGCTCCAACCCTGGAGCACCCACAGAGTTGGTGCCTCCCTCACGCTCGCCTCCTTATCTGAATATCGGGACAAATGGCGTCCCAATCGTACATTGATCAGGATGCGGGACAAAGGGTTAAATATCGGGACAGTTCCAATTTTATCAGGACATCTGGTCACCCTAAATCTCATGGCGGAAAATTCATTATCATGGCAAGCTTTTAATACTGGTTTTCAAACTCTTGACTATCAATGACGCTAACACTGCTCCAAACTCTAGGCTTGCAGTTGTAAAAGTACACCTCTACCCCAATATAACGCGACCCGATATAACACGAATTCGGATATAACGTGGTAAAGCAGTGCTCCGGGGGGGACGGGGCTGCGCGCTCTGGTGGATCAAAGCAAGTTCGATATAACGCGGTTTCACCTATAATGGGGCAAGATTTTTTGGCTCCTGAGGACAGCGTTATATTGGGGTAGAGGTGTAGTCTCAGCTCCGTTGTGTGTTAGAACACAGACATATGAGGCAGGGAAACAGTGGGATACTTGAGTTCAGAGAAGCTCCTACTTAAGGTGAGGAAAGGGTACAGAGAATGCCAGTCATACAAGGCCAAAGCAGAAGAACTTAGTACCCCTATGTGTGATTGGGAACCTTTGTACCTAGGACATGTTCAGAAGCAGAATATGGAGAAAACCACCAATTCTAACCAGTGTTAACTGCTAACCGATTAGCCGTGCTATTTTTCATAAATTGCTGGCTAGACAGCTGTTTTCCCAGGAATTAGATTTAACTAGCTTCCCTATGTAGGGTCATCAGCAGCTAATTTATTCCCTGTCTTTTAATGGTAAAGAGAGACAATGAAACATGCATATTCAAATGCCTCAAAAGCAGAGCTTGTTTTACAAAAAAACCCAGGGCATTTCTTCCTCCGCTTCTAATCTTGAAAGCCTTTGTTTATAAAACTATAATTCGGCTTGGCAAATCTAATGTCAAACAAGCATATACAAAAAAAGGGGGGGGCAGGGGGCCAGGGAGGGAAGAGAGAAGAAAACTGAGTTTTGAAACCCAACCTTAAAAACTTGCTGTGGTAGAGTAGGATTCTTATTGTAAACCATGTGGGTTTGGATGTGGGTTATTTTTTTTTAAATTGTTTTAATTCCTCCCCTAGGGGATTTAAGGCACTACAGTCCAATTGATTTCACGCTCTTACATGATAGACAGCTTGCTCTCAGAGAAGGAATGGAAACACATGTGTTGATATCAAGCTGTTGAAACATTTAAAGTCTGAACTGGTTCTTTACCATTTTTTAAAAGATTTTCTCCCTTTTTGGGGGTACCTTGGTCAGCAATATAAGAAGATCTGCTGCAGACAGCCTTAGGATCTCTCTTATTAAATTCTTGAGATTTTCTATTTTATTGTTTGACTTGACAGTCCAGTCTTGCACAGGTCTGAATAATTACAGAACATTCCCCTAATTGAAAGAACTGATCTTGCCAGTCAGAATAAGGGGAGTACTGATATTTTTAGACTTCATTAGTGAACTGATTTGAAATTTCACATTTTGTTTCCTATAATTATGTTTCATTTGGCTGAGTTGTATTCCTGTAGGGGCCAAATTAGAATGCATTCACTCGAAACTGTGTTTCTTAATTGGTTACTTCTATTTAAAGCTAAACAAATAAATTACAAAAAATTAAAGGCACTGTTGATATGCTGTTTCATTTGCAATAGGTCAAAGTGATCTTCTGTAATGTATGACTGAAGAAGTCAGATTGTTTGTGTTTTCTTGAATGTTAACAAGAATAGTTACATACAGCAGATTTTCTTTCTATTTACGGTGTAAAGGACCAATCCTGCGATGTTTACTCATGCAAGTATTCCCTTTAATTGTAATATGACTTCTTGCATAAATAAAGATTTACTCACATGAGTCAGGCTTGCAGGATTGGCCTGTAAGTCTTTCTTCCTAACTGGGTTGTGGGAGGCGATCCTGTGAGGGTTTTTTGTTGTTTGTTTTTGTCACATATTAAATACAATTTTTTTTATATTTAGCCTCATTAATCAAATGGATTTCCTATTTTAAAAGCAGCTATTATGGGAAAAGTAAACAGTATTTTAAAAAATGATAATTACTTTTATGCATCATGTGTGAAGAATTGTATCTCTGTGCTTTGTGAAATGTGTGGGATCTATTATCATACATGATCAACAGTAGTACTGAGATGTGACTGGTTTAGACAGTAACTGCCTTTGGGCTGAATTTACAGTAAGCATTTCTAGCTGTCATCCAAAGCCATGTCACCTTAATACAGAAATGTCACACAAATATTCTAGTACAGAATTAGCTATTGCACTTCATCCCTGTTTCAAGTCCTGTTCTGTCTTGGAAAG